ACACATAAATGGAGTATAATTTGTCTGGTTGTACATGATGCATGATCACACTGGTCATGTAGTCATATATGCACATAGGGTGATAATGTTTAATTCATTATATTATCGTCCTATCCTCATACCCCCTCCCCTCCCTTCACTCCTTTCTACCTAATTCGATACTGTATTTTTCAATCATGTCCTTCAGATATTTGAATATAATGTGCCTTGGTACAGTTTTGTTTGTATTTACCTTGGGTGGGGCTATTGACCTTCTTTGATCTCTTAATTTATATTTATCATAAAATTGGGCCATTATTTCTTCAACAATATTTTTGGCTATTACCTTCCTTCTGGGACACCAACTACACATAATTAAATAAATTAGAGTCTCTATCAGTTTCTTTTCAAACATTTAAAAAATTTAGTGAATTAATTTATAGCCTGATGAGTATAGTTAATAATATTGTATTATGCTGGAAATTTGTGAAGAGTATAAATCTCATGTGTTGTCAGAAAGCACATCAAAAAGGTAACTAGCCAAGTGATAAGACTGATATGTTAATTTGCTTGACTGTAGTAATCATCTATGTATATTAATCATTACATACTATAACTTAAATATATGCAATTCTTATTGAAAACCAAAGAGTTAAAATTAATTGATTAATTTAAATAAAGATCAAATGGAATTTATCCAGACTGGAAATGTAGACACAATTACATGTTTTAAAGATTGATATGATTGTGCAAAGAGAAATCCAACGGAAACTACAAAAAAAAAAAAAAAAACAAAAAAACAAAAAAACAAAAAAACCACACTTTGTAACTAGTAAATAAATTTAGCAGTTCTCCAGAATGTAAAAATCAATATTTAAAAATCAATTGTATTTCCATACTAGTAATAAAGTCAGAAATATAAATTTAAAACAGTATATGCAATACTTATGAGAATTTATAAAAACAGTGATAAATCTGATAAGAGTTGTGCAAAACCTATACAGTGGAAAATAAATTAAAAAAAAAAAAACTTCTGTGAGAAATTAAAGACCAAAATTAATAGAAAAATATTTAGTGTTTTGGTCAGAAGAATTAATATTGAAAAACATGTCAGTTTTCCTCTAAGGTAAGTATAGATTAATGAAATCACAATCAAAATCACGTTTTGCTGTCTTTCAGAATTGACAAGATGATTCTAATATTCTCATGGAAATGCAAGGGATGCCAAATTGTCAAACAACTTTTAAAAAGTAAAACAAAGTTAGAGGTCCAATATTATCTGATTCTAAGACAAGGTAGAACTTCAATATCAAGACAGTGTATATTTCTTATAATACAGACAAATGTCCAAATCCACAGTGCCCAGTAGAACAACTTTACTTGTCCTATGGGGAATACTGTTACTCTTAGGGGAAATTCAGATCTCCATGTTTTTTAGTTCTGGAAAAAGCACATAATTATTCAACTGGTTGATACATGTGTCCATAGCAAACTTATATAAACAACATTTTACTGAGACTGGAAAGTTAAACCTCCAAAATCAATCAACTGCTACTTTTGTTATTATCAATCCTGTACTACTGTGATTTTTTTCTGCTTTAGAAAGTCCAGAATATTTTAAGGATCTCTGCAATTTCGTTGAAAATATTATGGGTAAGAAGGAAAGAATTTTTATAGTATGTATTATTGTTTATACAGAAAGTTAAAAATACTGTTTAATTTATAATAATTTTAAATTTGGATTCCAACATAGCTGATGTAAAAGAATATTAAAAATGAATAATCTATATATTTTATTATTGTCATTATATATGATAAGAAAAATAAGAAGAAAAATAGTTTAACCTGAATTCTTCCCCTTAATGATGCTTTATTATCTTTTTAACCTTACTATCATCATCATAACTTTTAACTTCTGAACTAGAATGATAAGCAATTTAAAATTGAGTTTTAGTACATAAGAAATAATGATTATTATATAAACAATTTCTCTGATTCCAATAAAAGACTATTCCTTTAATTAATCATATTTTCTGATCAAAATTTAAGATCTGTCACTAAAATCTTTACTCCTCTGAGCCTCCATCCTCTTCTGACAATACCTAAAAAATATGTAGAAAATATCCCTCCCCTACATTTTGTTGCATTTATGACTTCACTAAGTACCCCCAAAAAAGCTTATTTGAGAATTTTCAATTATTTTGTGACTTGGGACTGTCCAGAAGTAAAACTCTTTCATATAAAAATTCATTTAACAACTGGAAATACTGGTGTTATATATATTGCCAATATACAGGATTTAGTGTTTCTCTGAATTTTATTATGCCAAGAAACCAAACCAAACCAAAAACACCTGGAGGAGAAGAAATGTTTTCTCAAATAAAATCAGCATATTTTCTAGAGAAATCTGTTCTAATTGTCATAATAATGAAAATAAAGAACATTTAAATATTAAAAGAAAAATCAGACCATGATATCAACAACACAAAATTTATGAATTTGAAAATCAAAATCTGTTTTCAAAAACATATTTAATAGCAAACTGACTTTGATTTGTAGGAAAGCCTCTAAGACTCTCCTTTCATTTAGTTTTTGGCCCTCTTCCTCTGGTACTTCCTCTCTCCCTGTGCTTTGACTTGTGTTTCTACATTTTTGTTATACTCTGACTATTTCTTTTCCCCCTTTTTGTTTTTCCTTCATCCACTCAAATTTCACTTTTTACTTCTTCTGTTCTTTTTCTCTCTTGAGTCCTTCCTTACCTCTCCTGTCACTTGTTTACTCTTTTATTTGAAAATTTTTATTAGGATGTGTCCTACAGGAAAAAAGATCACAGTGGACAGTAGACAAATGCCCACTGTCCTCCATATTTCTCAAAACACTTTCTATCTTTCCCTTAACTGTAGTGCCATGTTTCCCAATTATTTCTTATTATTTTCTGACCTCAACAGTATCACAGATAGAATCTGGTCTCACCAAAGCCACTAACATTTTTGAAAATTTCAACACTTAGTGACCCCCACTGATTCCTGGTCCTTCTAGAACATTTAATTTGGCATTTGGTTCTGTACATCAGTCTGTCATTCTTCTCTCTTTAAGATAACAGCTTTCAATGTCCAGTTGCACTCTTCTCATTGTCCTTTTCTTGTCTCTCCTTGGCCTCACAGTGAAGCTAGCCTATAATTTTGATTGGCACCAGGAAATGATTTTATTGAATGGAAACTGATGCTAACATAGAAACGCTAGGGAGATTGGAGTAATCAGATAGAAAAATGGGCAGGAACAGAAAAGGCAATGCAGTCAACCAATAGCCAAAATTTTGTTCTGATGCACTAGTTCAGTGAGGGTTGTAACTGCTTCTGAACTTCAGATACCAGGACTCACACTGTCACTGCCATCGTGGTGAATGAAGGATACTTTTCCTGGAGTCTTAATATTGCTACCTTGGCTACCTATGCTACTAAAATTATTTTTACTGTGTGAAACTTTGTCTGATTCTGTTCATATTTCAAGCCCAACCTGGCTCTGGTGGATTTACTTGGATGAATCTAGGCCAAGCTCCTTGATTGTACATGTGAGGTGAATGGAAAAGTGACTTTCTAGTTTCTTGCCTTCTATATTGTCACAGCCTGACACCAAGATTATATGACAGAAAAGGTATTGAATGTGGACCTTGTAGTAAATGCTTTCCATCCCCTTTTTATAATAATATAATATATAATAATATAAGTTCCTTAATTTCTTCTTTGTCTTTATTCCATTTTCTTTGTGTATACATGAATGCATAGGCCATTCATAACACTGCCTTCCAGTTACTCCAATGACATCCACATCATTATTATTATTAAGCGTTGATAGATTCAATACTACTGAGGACATGTCACTTGCATGTTCAGAAGATGTACTTTTCACCACTTTGCTCATGCATCAAAGTTCTCAATCTCAATTTTTAATGATCATCTACACATCTCATCAAATGATTTCTCTTTCCTCTACTGACCTCCCATTCACAGGTGCCATGACACTGCATACTAGTAATTCTATATTATGAATTCTTTTTTTAATATTTATTTTTTAGTTGTAGTTGGACACAATACCTTTATTTATTTATTTTTATGTGGTGCTGAGGATTGAACCCAAGGTCTCACACGTGCTAGGCGAGCGCTCTACTGCTGAGCCACAACCCCAGCCTCTTATGAATTCTTTTTAATCTATCTCTTTGTGCTCATCACTCTCAATATCATATCACACATGGTCTGATCACTTCAGATGCATTTAAATTACCTGGGGATTGTTTTAAAAAATGCAAATGATTTTAAACTACTTAATTAACTTTTTCTAATAATATCTCACAATCTGTTTTTGTACAAATGTCCCCAGACATTTCTGATAGATTATTGGGTCTGAAAAACTGATGCCAATTTGTCCTCCCAGAAACTCATCTTCTCAGCTGCCACATAATATTTAAAAAATTATTTAAAATATATTTTCTAATGCTACTTCCTATTTTAAAATTTCAGTGCCTAAAATGTTTTTGCTTATCTCAGTTGAATAATATCTGTATTGTTGCATTTAATTCATTTTACAATTTAGGTCTTCCAAGTATTGTTTCCCTGGACCTTGCACCTGTGACCCATACACAGCATTTTCTTATCACATTAACAGTGTCTCCCCAAATTTAACTTTTCTTTTTTTCTTTTTTTTTTTTCTGTGGTGCTGGGGATTGAACCCAGGGCCTTGTGCATGGGAGGCAAGCACTCTACCAACTGAGGTATATCTCCAGCCCAACATTTCTTATAAGACCTCTTGTTTTTTAAATCTGTTAATTTGATTCCAATTTAAATAGAAATAATTGAATTTATTATCTCTTCAATCTATGACATAATTTACCTTATATTAATATTAAATAAAATTGAAAGGGCATTCTGATAAGTGCATGGGTTTTATTCTACTGCTCCAATTTTCACATTCTAAAATTTGTGAATGCTTTCTTATAATACTATATTTCATTTTAGGGGATATCCACTGAGAATATGGAAAAGGACAATGCAACTTCACTGACAGTATTTGTTCTCACAGGACTTATACACCAACCACAGTGGAAACTCCCTCTGTTCCTGCTGTTCTTGGTGATATTCCTCATCACCCTTGTGGGGAACCTTGGGTTGATTACTCTCATCTGGAAAGACCCTCAGCTTCATATTCCCATGTACTTATTTCTTGGGAGTTTAGCCTTTGTGGATGCATCTATATCATCCACAGTGATTCCAAAGATGCTGGTCAACTTCTTAGCTAAGAATAAATTCATCTCTCTGTTTGAATGCATGGTACAATTCTTTTCCTTAAATATCAGTGCAACCACAGAATGTTTTCTCCTGGCAGCAATGGCTTATGATCGCTATGCAGCCATATGCAAACCTTTACTCTATCCAGTAATAATGACCAACAGACTATGCATAAATCTGTTAGTCTTGTCATTTGTAGGTGGACTTATTCACGCATTCATTCATGAAGGATTTTTATTCAGATTAACCTTCTGTAATTCCAACATAATACATCACTTTTATTGTGATATTATATCATTGTTCAAGATTTCCTGCACTGATCCTTCAATTAATTATCTAATTGTTTTTATTTTCTCTGGTTCAATTCAGGTTTTCACTATTTTGACAATTCTGGTCTCTTACACACTTGTTCTCTTCACAATCTTAAAAAAGAAGTCAGCCAGAGGCATAAGAAAGGCTTTCTCTACCTGTGGAGCCCATCTCTTATCAGTGTCTTTGTACTATGGTCCTCTTCTCTTCATATATGTGCACCCTGCCTCTCCACAAGTAGAGGATCAAGATATGATGGTCTCTCTATTTTATACTATCATAATTCCTCTGTTAAATCCAATTATATACAGTCTGAGGAATAAGCAAGTCATAGATTCAGTGACAAAATTTTTAAAAAGGAATGTTTAGATCTCATATTACTCTTTTTATTGAACAGTGGCAAAACAGTTCAAGTTTAATGTGGTTGTATTTTGGTCAGTGTTCAAAGATTTTTGCACTTATAATTGAGTTAGCCTTTTAATAAAGTATAAGTAACTAATAAACTCCATAAAACATTTGCTTATGTCTTTCAAAAGCATGCAAGGATTTTTATCAAATGTTATAACTTACTAAAATAATTTCAGATAAGAACACTTTATAGGTTTGATTGTTTTGTTCACTGTGGCTTCAAATACATTAACTGTTAAAATAGTGTGATTCCTATGAGAAGAAGTTAATATGATGTCTTTGATCTGAATGCAATTGTGTAACTTAGAGACATATCACATGAGCTCTGTGAAGGAGGCAGGTTGGTATTTCAGTGAACAAATCCCTAGAATATGGGTGCTATCAAGTGTTCTTTCAATCCACCCTTTTGGGAAATAGTGAATTTCATTCCTGTAGCAACTTAACTTACACACCATACAGAAAAATAAACAGAAATGGGAATACAACAACAAAATTATGACAGCAAAGGCATGGCTCAGTGTGTTTGGGTGAGTTGGGGGAAGAGGCCAGTTACCTCTCACAATCTATGATGCATTCTGAGGCCATTTCTAGTTGCGTTCTTGTGTAGTCTTACCATCTAAAAAGCTTCACTAATTCAGAAAACAAGATTACATTGGAATTGGATTAAGAAGAACATGAAGAGAAGAAATCAGCGGGCAATGGTTTAATTATCCTAGAATTAAAAACAATGAAGCTATTAAGATAAAGTAGTAACACATAAAAATTGTTGAAATATATAATGGAAAAAGAGGAGCTTTAAGTATATATTTCCAAAGATCAAATAATAAAAACATGATATTATGTCAGATTTCCAAGTGGATTTCTGAGAAAGATGTGAAAACGAGCTAGCATTTGTATGTTTTATGCTTGAAAACTTCTTGATCATTGGCTTCCTACTCCATGGTTTGTGTGTAATGAGTAATCCATCTTCAGCCTCACTCCTGCCTTTCCCCTCAGCACCGAAATTTCATACACATTCCTATCGATATTACTGAATCCCTCATCTAAAAACTGCTTCCTAGCATGTCTGCAAAACTCTAGTTGTCTATCTCCTCCATCCTGTTGGCACTCTTTTCCTTATGAAACATTGTTGCTGGATGAGTCTTCATAAAGGAAACTCTGATTACATCATATCTCTTCATTAACTTCTAATTTATTGTCATTACTACTAGATTATATGCATATATTACTACCAGATTATATGCATATATGGCATATGTATCTGGATCTGCATATATACCTATGCATATGTTTCTGTACATGCTGTACTTTCTCACTCTGCATTTGCTTGTCTTGGCATGATTTGAGAATTTTCTAATAAAACCTGGTTTAACTTTTAAGTCTCTTCCTTACAATTCTCCAAGTGGAATTCATGTTGTTTCCAAAATGAGTTATTGTGATACTTTTGGATCTGCCTTACTCTCTCAGGTATGTGCTTTCAACCATAAAGACCTCTCTATAGAGAATGTCCTCCATTACCCACCCACCCCAATTGTCACATCTTAATTTACAGATAAAATGGTATACTTCCTCCAACATCTAATTAAAATGTGACTCCAGATAATTTCAAAAAAGATAGGAAAATAACATATTTGAAGCATTTAATAGCTTATGTATTCTTCTTAGGTCACACTTTGCCATACATTATACTTAATTTATGGCCAGTAAAGTTTTACAGGTTACAGTTTAATTTCCTTTTTTGCTGTGTATAGTACTAGTTTACACATACAAACCTCAAATTTGTTTTGTGTGAAATCGACATAAATCTGGCAACAAAAACAACATAGAATTTAATAAAGTGTATCATCTTTTAAAATCATAACATGAGCCCAGAGAGATTATCTGATTTGAAAGGCTTTTGCATATAGACTGACCTTGAGTTTTTTCATGGCAGTCAAAAGCATCTTGTACATCAACAGATATTTTCTCACCAAAAGTAGATATTTAAATAGACTATGATAAAATATCATGAAGAAGATATTTAATCTTTTTTTAAACTTTATTTATTTTTATGTTGTGCTGATGATTGAATCCAGTGCCTTACACGTGCCTGGCAAGTACTCTACCACTGAATCACAACCCTAGACCCAAGATATTCAATCTTAAGGATTAAATGATACAAAACATGAAGTTTTCTTTCCTTCCTTCTTTCCTTCCTTTCTTCCTTCTTTCTTTCTATGTGGTACTAGGGATTGAACCCAGGAGTGCTTTAACCACGGAGGCATATCTCCAGCCCTTTTTACATTTTATTTTAGAGACAAACTCTAAGTTGCTTAGAGCCTCATTAAGTTGCTGAGGCTGGCTTTCAACTTATGATCCTCCTGCCTTAGCCTCTTGAGCTGCTGGTATTATAGGTGTGTGCCACCATACCCCACATATAAAGTGATTTTAAACAAATATCATTATTCTATTATTCTGGAGGTCTAGGCTGTTAGGGTCTGTAAACAAGTAGGGATGGCGCCTGGCATTTTGCCAGAGGGAGTGGTTTGTGAAGTAACGCCAGCGAGCCATTAAGTGTGGAGATTCCTTATTGGTGGACTGCTGTATCTAGTTTATGTTAATTAAGATAAGCTGTGTGTAATGTATATATACCCCTCCTGTCCTACAATAAACGGCTCCCACTCCTGCTGTATCAGTCTCCACAAGTTGCTCGGCACCCCCCGGTTATTTTGCTGCAGCCGGACTGCGGCACTAGGCCACAGATTATAGCAGATCATCTGCCCTCTTTTTGTTCCCCTGATGGATGCCCCATGAAGTTCCAGAAACAGCATAAATATATTATGTTCTGTGTCTGTTATTTTCTTTTCTTTACAGAAATCCTGCAATTTTACTTATATCTACAGTTTGTTGATTTCCCTTGTTGCATAATATGCCTATTGAACTAATGGATTTTTTAAAATTAACTTTCTGGGTATGTGTTTTATTTTTAAGTGTTATGACCCAAAGAATAGATTGATAATATAAACAGCTGGCATCTATTTCTTTTGCCATAATAAAGTTTTTTTTGGCATATTAATGATTTCTTCTCCATTAAGTATTCTTTAATGCATAAGGAAATATAAAAGATACATATAAAGGATAATTTATCATATGAAGGATGATATCACATAGGGAAGTTCACCCAGGTGACTTAAAAACTGCTCATGTTAGATTTAACCACCACCTGGGAATAAGGTAGCACAGTAGAAATAGTTTATATTATGAAAGCATGTTAATTTCTTAACCTGGAGATTTAAAAGAATTCATGGTTTCTCTCACTTTGTATTACGTGTGTGTGTGTGTGTGTGTGTGTGTGTGTATAATTTTTTTCAAAAGTTTTTAAAACTTTCTACTTTTCAGGAGATTGCTGACAAAGTAATTCTAGACTATACTCAAAGAAACAACATGATTTGGATTTCGGTAAAAATAAACAATCAGAAACAGAACACCATTTGAGCATTAGCCATAACAGAATATTCAGTATGTGTTTATGTATGTGTCAAAAACTCTCAAGGTTTTTTACACATACAAACCTCTAATTTTGTATAATGATGACCGTCTCCTTCCACCATCCTTGCTATTCCCCTTCTCCCTCCCTTTTTCTCCCAACCCTATTCCCTATCTAGTTTTTCCTTTGGGTTCTTTGAAAACAGTGGTTGACTATTGACTGAACTTTCCTCCTTTCCCTCCCTTCTATGTTCCCTAGTTTATGGTAAACATGATTCTGTTCTCTATTTCTATGATAAACTATTTTAGATTTCACTTATGAGTGAGATCATTAAGTGTTTGTCTTTGTGCCTGACTTATTTAATTTCACACAATGTCTTCCAGGTCCATTCATATTGTTACAAATGACAGGACTTCATTTTTTTATGAATATTATTTAATTGTATAGATATATTTTTAAATTTATTTCTTATATACATGACAATAGTGGAATGCATTACATTCATAGTTATCCATTCACAGCACAATTTTTTGTAACTCTGTATATAAAGTATGTTCACTCCAAGTTATGCTATTATACATGAGCTCTGTCTCTCTTTCTTTTTTTTTTTTGCATTACAATTCTTAACACCTTTATACCACAATTTATCAACTCTCTGTTTGTATATAAGATATGTTGACAGCAAATTCACATCTTCATGCATGTATTTTGTATAATGATGACCGTCTCCTTCCACCATCCTTGCTATTCCCCTTCTCCCTCCCTTTTTCTCCCACCCCTATTCCCCATCTAGAGGTAATATTCCTCCCATGCTCTCCCTTCCTACTCCACTTTGAGTCACCCCCCTTATATCAGAGAAAACATTCAGCATTTGATTTTTTGGGATTGGCTAACTTTACTTCTCTAATGCCATCCATTTCCCTGCAAATGCCATGATCTTATTCTTTTTTGGTGCTGAGTAATATTCCATTGTGTATAAATGCCACATTTTTAAAAATCCATTCATCCACTGAAGGACATCTAGGTTGGCTACACAGTTTAGCTATTGTGAATTTTGCTGCTATACACATTGATGTGGCTGTGTCCCTGTAGTATGCTGTTTTTAGGTCCTTTGGGTATAGTCCAAGAAGAGGAATAGCTGGGTCAAATGGTGGTTCCACTCTAGCTTTCCAAGGAATCTCCATACTGCTTTCCAAATTGGCTGCACTAATTGGCAGTCCCACCAGCAGTGTATGAGTGTACCTTTTACAAATGGTACTGGGAAAACTGGAAATCCATATGCAACAAAATGAAAATGAATCCCTATCTCTCACCATGCACAAAAGTTAACTCAAAATGGATCAAGGATCTAGGAATTAAACCAGAGATTCTGCATCTACTAGAAGAAAAAGTAGGCCCTGATCTTCATCACATTGGGCTAGATCCCAACTTCCTTAATAAGATGCCTATAGCACAAGAATTAAAACCAAGAATCAACAAATGGGATGGATTCAAACTAAAAAGTTTTTTCTCAGCAAAAGAAATAATCTGTGAGGTGAACAGGGAGCATACATCCTGGGAACAAATTTTTACCCCTCACACATCAGATAAAGCTTTAATCTCTAGGGTATATAAAGAGCTCAACAAGATAAGCATGAAAGAAACAAATAATCCAATCAACAAATGGGCCAAGGACCTAAACAGACACTTTTCAGAAGAGGATATACAATCAATCAACAAATATACAAAAAAGTGTTCATCATCTCTAGCAATCAGAGAAATGCAAATCAAAACTACTCTAAGATAACATCTCACTCCAGTAAGAATGGCAGCCATTATGAAGATATCTTTATATATATATGGATATATATATATATATATATATATATATATATATATATCCATATATATCATATATATGTGTATATATATTACATTTTCTTTGTATATTCGTCTATTGCTGGTGGTAGAACTGATGACTCCTAAGCCCTCTACTGGAACTAATTAAACAGAATCTTCCTTTAAAAAATATCTTCAGGAAATTTATAGATGTTGAAGTTTAGGCAACAGACATCTAGCCTCCTTCCTTTGTTTTCATTTTATTTTATTTATTATTTTTGTATTGGAGATTGAACCCTGGGGCGCTTGATCACTGAACCACATCTCTAGCACTCACTTTTTAAAACATTTTAATTAAATACAGGGTCTCTGTAAATTGCTTACTGCCTTGCCAATTTGCTGATCCTGACATTAAACTCAGGATCCTCCTGCCTCAGCCTCCAGAGATTCTGGGATTACAGTAGTGCACCACCATGTTACCTATTCTTTGTTCTTTCCCTTGAACTTTGTCCAGTAAAATTTCTCACCAGATTTCAATTTAAAGTGGGGGAAGTTGGTATATGTTTGGAACCTAAGTTACAATTTGTATGACTATTTTGGATTGGCTCCTAAAGGGAATTTGGATCATTGATCTTATTAAAATCATGTTATTATTAGCTCAGTTAAGATCATAATATCATAGATTGTCAAATTTAGTATATAAACTGAAGTTTTCATAAACCTGTCAGTAGTATCACCCATGGTAGAAGACAGTGGCATAAAATAAAATTTCAATTTTTCAAACTAGAGTTGCCTATGGTGACTCAATGTTTATAAATTCTAAATCCCCTGTGGGGTGACCTGGGTTTCGTACACACATCCAAATCCACAATGCCCAATTGCAAATCTTTACTTTGTCCTACAGAGACTCTTCAGGCACTCCTGGGGAATTGCAGTTCTCCAGGTCTGTTTCTCCTGACAAAACCATAAAGTTATACAACTTGTTGACTCTTGCATTCAAAGCAAAATTATATAAGCAATAATTTCCTTCACTTGGAAAATGGAGCTTTGAATATGAATTCATGTGCAAAGAATTATTACCTGTATTCTTGTCACTTGTGTGCTATTATGAAATAATTCTACTTTTGAAAATCTGACACTTTTGAAGGATCTCCATAATTTCTTAGATGATACTGGTAAAAGATAAATTGTTTTATAATGTTAATTATTATTTGTAAAGAAGGTTTGAGATTTATAAGTTTAAGGTTTATGAACTTAATAAGTTAAGATTTGGTTTCCAGAATTCAGAAATTGCCATGGGAGAATGGTAAATAAAAAGTTAGTAATCATATTTTATTTTTATGTCATATCTGGATAAACAAAGTATAGCTGTAAGATATATTAATTGTGGATTGGCTCTTGAAGGACTTCTGCATTATTGCCTTTATTAAAAGCATGTGACCATATAAATCAAAGCACTGTAGCAATGACTTTATCTTATTAACCCATCAATAATTATAAGTTCCGGTGAACTAGAATATTAAAGGAATCAGAACTAAGTTTAAAGATTCAAGGCACATAGATTCTTAGATAAGAAATATTTGTGAAGATTTTTATATAATTAACCACTTTGAGTAATTATATTTTCTGATTATAACTTTTAAGTCCAATTAAGTAAACATAAACTCTTCTCTACCTTCCCCTCTTCTGAAAATATTTATAGGTCTAATATCTATAGTATACAGATCTATTGTCAGGAATAACAATGAAGGGTGACACAGAGACAAGGTGCAGATGCAGGGAAGGTGGCAGAGTGGTTCTTTGTCCAAGGGGCCATGTTTATTTATACCAATAGGTTACACTGGCTCAGTAGTACCATAACTACATTATTTTTAGAGTTAGATTCTGCAGTTACAATATACAATGTTAGGAACTTTGTACAGGTTGCAAGAAAGTCCATTGTCTGAAGTTACTGTCAGGCAGGCAGATCCAGAAGCACCAAAACTTGGTGAAAGATTGTAGTTATCAAGCAAGCAAGTTCCTTTATTCCCAGGAGTTATGTGCCTATGATCAAGGTTTTTTTTTTTTTTTTTAAGTATATTGGCAGATTGGCAGAGGAGAATTGATAAAATTGTACTTTTATCAAAACAGCCTTTAATTATCTTTCATATTAATTACTCAAATTGTTGGAAACTATTTGGAAGAATTAAGACATAGAAACAAGAACATTGCTATAGTGGTCAGGCATCCCATGTCTTTTACATGAAAGTTTCCCAGCATCCAGGCATTCCGTACCATTGCATAGAAATTTCCTAGCCACCAAGCATGCCACAATCATGAAGTTTATCAGAGACCCCAATACCAAACACAGAACCTCTACAATCTATAAATTATATTCCATTCAAAAATATGTATAATGTATAATTATATTGATCTATAAAATGAATAAGATATATTTGATATCATATTACTATATCATATATAGGTCATATATATAGTAAATATATAATATACAAAATATTCATATTATAATAACGTAATATTTGGAGATATAAATATTATAATATATGTAGAATTGAACATTTATAGAAATATACACATCTTTCTTTAAATATTTTTTTATATAGCAATACTAATTGCATAAATGTGCAAGTGTATCAGGAATACGCAGAGCAGAACATGTCCCCACTTACTTGTCAAGTATGCATGATTTGAAAAGTACCCACATAAAACTCAACTTGAAAATTATCAATTATTCTGTAATTTGTGATTGCATGGAAGGAAATTCATTCCATATATAATTTTACTTTTATAGTAAAAGTAAAAAATAAAATAAAAGAAGTAAAAGTAAGTACAGTTATTGACACGTATTCTTTATATTTTCTATGCCTGAATCTGGCCTTTGGTTCATTTTATTCTTCTAAATTAAACTGATGGAGAAGAAAGTGCTCTCAAATAAAACCAGAAATATTTCTAGGGAAATTTAGTTCTAGTTGCTGTATTAAATATAGTTTAAACATTTAAATATAGAAAGAAATTTTAGGCAGTGTAAATATATTTATGAAGAAGATAAAATTTAAAGTCAGTCTCCTAATCATAAATGAATGTCATAGAAAATAAACTTTGAAAATAAAAGATGGGTCCTGCAGTCCTTGACGATCTGTAAGTCAGGTGAGAACAAATTCTCAGATACTATTTTCACACTGAATATGTAACTAAGTCCTAGTGACTACATTCTGATAACTTTGGAATTTATTTATTGTCTACATCACTCCCAGTGTCTTGTCACACACCAACTGATCATTCTATGTGCATTTAATCACCTCTGGAACATTTTCAGAGTAGATTATTTCATCACATTTTTATAATTGAAGTAAAGGTATTTGTTTCTATTTCTTAATTTTTTCCAATAGTTTCCATCAATTTGAGTAATTAACATGAAAGAAAATTAAAAGGCTGTTTTGATGAAAGTACAGTTTTATCAACTCTCCTCTGCTAATATACAATTTAAAATCCTAGTGACTTTTTTCTTTACATTTATTTCATTTTATTTCAGGGTACATCTAGGGAGGACATGGAAAAGAAAAATGTGACGTTGCTGACTGAATTTGTTCTCACAGGACTTATAGATCGGCAAGGACTGAAGGTCCCATTGTTCTTGCTGTTCTTGATGATATACCTCATCACCATTGTGGGGAATCTTGGTCTGATTGCTCTCATCTGGAATGACCCTCACCTTCACATCCCCATGTACTTGTTCCTGGGGAGTTTAGCATTTGTAGATGCTTGGATATCATCCACTGTGACCCCCAATATGTTGGTCAACTTGTTAGCCAAGAGCAAATCAATATCCCTCTCTGAATGCATGATACAATTTTTTGCCTTTGCATTTGGTGGAACTACAGAATGCTTTCTCTTAGGAACAATGGCTTATGATCGCTATGTAGCAATATGCAAACCATTGCTTTATCCAGTAATTATGACCAATAGACTATGCATCCGACTATTAGTCTTATCATTTGTAGGTGGCTTTCTTCATTCCCTAATTTATGAAGGATTTTTATTCAGATTAACCTTTTGTAATTCTAACATAATACATCACTTTTATTGTGACATTATACCATTGTTTAAGATTTCCTGTATGACCCTTCTATTAATTTTCTAATGGTATTTATTTTGTCTGGCTCAATTCAAGTATTCACCATTGTGATTGTTCTGGTTTCTTATACACTAGTTCTCTTTACAGTTTTAAAAAAGAAGTCTGTCAAAGGCATGAGGAAAGCCTTCTCCACCTGTGGAGCCCATCTCTTATCTGTGTCTTTATACTATGGTCCTCTTCTCTGCATGTATGTTCTCCCTAAATCTCAACAAGCAGATAATGGTATGATGGACTCTTTATTTTACACAGTCATAATCCCTGTGATAAATCCAATTATCTACAGCCTGAGAAATAAGCAAGTCATGGATTCACTGACAAAAATACTGAAGAAAAATATTTAGATCTTATAACAATATCTCTTTTTCCTTTAGAACAAAACTCACAGAATTTTTCCACTGTCTTTGTTGTGGAAAATGTTCCAAGCTTTTTGTAATTATAATTGTCTTGCTTTTATTTTACTCTGATTAAATCAGACTCTCAAGTATGTTAATTATTTAATAAAATCCTTAAAATAGTGATATTTTAATTTGAAAACGTTCAAAGAATTTTAATCAAACTTTCATTCCATACTAAATACTAAATAATTAAGTCAGGAAATAAATGAAAATATTTTACTGACTTATGTGTTCTTCGTGTGATTTTATTAATTCATTAAGTACTAAAATAGCATAATTTAGTTCCAAATGTCTTAAGTAGATATTTAATACAGTTGACAGTGCTGTATAGGTTGGTGATTCATTTCACAGTTGCTCTATTTTGTTGTCAGGTTTGTGTTGAGCAGATGAAAATCTCAGAAAATCTACTGGTCCTACATAATTCCTTTTTTATTAGTTTACTGAGAATCAGTGAATCTTTACATTATATAAAGTCAACTAACATCTCATGGATATACAAATAGAAATTAGGATGTAGTTATTTAAAAAGTTCGACAGTGAAGGCAGCAATTCTAAAAGGATGCTCTTAGCTCAGTCTGTTTTATGAGTAAGAAGATGAGTTGTCTATCTTTGTTCATGATGTCTTTAAAGGCATTTTGCAGCCTTATTTGTAGGATACCCAGCAATGTGAAAAGGTTTATTAATTCAGAAAGCTAATATATGATACTGAAGGATAAAGAGTATAGATGTAGAAATGAAAAGTGTTAGGATGTGAAGAAAATTGTGTCAGCCTTCTAGAAATTAAAAAGAAAAAAATAAAGCAAGCAAGAAAAGCAACTAGGTAACATCTCATGTTAAGAGTCTGTAAACAAGTCAAAATAACACCTGGCATTTTGCCAGGGGAATGTTAGAGTTCGTAAACAAGTCTGGATGGTGCCTGGCAAAATGCCAGAGGGAGTGGCTTGAGAAGTAACAAAAGCGAGCCATTAAGTGTGGAGATTCCTGATTGGTTGACTGATGTATCTAGTTTATGCTAATTAGATAAGCTGTGTGGAATGTATAAATACTGCTCCTGTCCTACAATAAACGGCTCCCACTCCTGCTGTATCAGTGTACCCAAGTTGCTCGTCACCCCCCGGTTATTTTGCTGCAGCTGGACTGCGGCAATCTCAAAATTGTTAACATGTATTACCAAAAACCAGTGGCTTTAAATGTGTATTATCAAAGGCCAAATAAAGTGAAGAAGATATAATGTTGTAGTACCCAGTGTGTATCTGGGAAAGACATGAAAATGAATTAGATTGAATGTTTAGGGGCCTGAAAAGTCCTTAATTTTTAGCTTCCTCAGAATCCATACTCTTTATAATGAGTGTGAGTGAGTCATATTCATTTCCATCTGTCTGTCCTCTTTTTTTCTTTCTTTGTACTAGGGATTGAACCCAGCAGGGCTTAACTACTGAGCCACATCCCAAGCTCCCCTCACCTTTTGTTTTTATACAGGGTCTCACTAAGTTGCTTAGCGCCTCTCTAAGTTGCTGAAGCTGACTTTGAACTTGTGATCCTCCTGGCTCAGCCTCCTGAGCCACTCAGTCTTTCCTCTTACTACTGAAATTCCATACACATTCCTACTGATACCAATCAGGATTTCACTTTAAAAACTACTCACCTGTGTGTTTTGCAAAATTCTAGTTACTTATTGCCTCCATTTGGCTTATACCTTCTTTCCCAAATGTAGCAGCCAGATAAGTCTTACTATGCATAAGATTAAATTTCATCCTTCTTCAACACATTTTGGTAAATTACCTTGCTACTAGATTACATACATATATGGTATATAAATCTAGATCTCAATGCATATACATGATTACAAATATATAGGTATGTAGATTTCTTCTTGTGAATGTATACATTGTATGTATGCATGCATTCTTTAACTTGTGTTTTCTCACCTTGAATTATGTGATATTTTCTCCAAAATAAGCTTGTCATAACTCTGGCATCACTTTCTCTAAAATTCTAAGGCAATCTATGTTATAACCAAAATGTGTTACTGAAAGCCTCTGGATAAACTTCACTTTCTCTTCTATATACTTTTGTTCATACAGTTATCTCCAGAGAGAATCCCTTGCTGTTTCAATACTCCCTAATTAATTTACAATTGAAATGGTATTCTTTCCTAGGGTCTACCTCAAATGTTATATCTTCTATGAAAATATTGTTGTTCCACTCAAATTGACCTAACAAGTATATATAAAATAGCTAACAGTGTTGTCCATAAAAATTTCCAGGTTACCTTGAAGAAGAATGGATTTTACTTCTTGTTCTCTGAATCAACCTGCACAAATGTATGGGTACAATGGTCTTATATAACATCTTATACAAGGAAATGATAATCAATGTACCAAATATTTGCCAATAACATATCTGATAAAAGATTTTTATGTATGTAGGATGAATGACAACCTCTCAACATATAAAAACAAATTTAATAACCCAATTAAAAATGGACAAAGATGCAAAGGGATAACTCATTGAAGATATATATTTATGTTAACTAAGGACACAAAAAGCTGCTTGACATAAGTAGACACCTAGTACATGAAAATAAAAGCCACTGAGATATCACAATTTACCTATTAAAATCAATTCAGATCAAAATATTAAAAAGATCCCTGAACTTTTTAGTGAAAAATAGGCAACAAAGTGAGTTAATAAATAATTATGTGCTTTTTAAGGAGGAAGTCACTTTTATGTGAAATTATGGTTAGGATAATCACTACCTAATTGAGCACATCAAATTGTTTACTCCACATTTCTTCAGGGTATTCACAATGAATCCATTTTTATATATGCTATTTCATTCTCTATATAGTTCCTTTTCCACTGGCAAAATTCTAAGGAATTGAAATAATTGATTAATGAGTCTTTCCCAAAATATGCCCTTTCTTCTTTCACTTATCAGTGAAGGTTAAGTTAAAACAATATGAATTAACTGTGTAGCTATCTACATACACTATTCATATACAAAAATCTAAAAGCTAATGCAATTAAATTATGATTATTTTCCTGAACAAATGTTTATTTACAAATTCTTAAAGGGGAAATCTGGGCATGTGACTCTGTAAAATAAAACATGATTATGAAATTTCCAAAATACCCCCCAAGAGTTAGGGAAACATGAATTCCCATCAAAGATGAGGTCATCTTGTCAGCAATTAGCTATAGAATTCTTTCTCAAAAATAAGAAAGGAGCTTTTCCTACCACTAATTCTTCCACACGTGGACAACTTTCCTTTCACAAGGTGCTACTCATGTGGTAGTTAAAATGGCATGCATGCCCAGCAGAGTACTTCCCATTTCACATTTTGCTGTCAACCTTGGTTTCACTCTGGATTGTTCTGTTTTCAGTATTTGAAACCTAGAAATTTCTTCTTTGATCACAGTCTCTTCTTTCTCCCCACTTCTTCAATAATTTTTCTTTTCCTGAGCTTACACTTCATCTTTGACTGGCAAAAGAAGGAATCAGATGTATAGAATATAATTTGTTCCAAGTTATTGTCAAAATGAACCTTAATATTCTGCATAACTAAAAGGAACTAAAAAAAGTTATGTATCAAAGGAAGACCAGTAGTGTAAAGGGACCAAGGAAAGGGAGGAGGAGCGGGAAAGGAAAATTATTAGAAAATGGTATTGACCAAATTGCATTTATATTGTGTACATGTACAAATTATTGGTGCACTATAATTATACACTGTTATGTATAATTATAGTGCACCAATAAAAATATATGCAAAAAAAGAAAAAAATTCCTCAAATTTTTTCTCTAAATCGAGTTAAGCAGCAAAACCTGTATCCTAGCCATCTAAGCCCCATGTAGTCTTATGTATATTGCCTCCCAGGGCCATATCTGATCTCTCCCTGAATGATCTCTAATAATCCCCTGCCTGTTCCAAGTGTCCACAGTCATCACTGTGTAAAAAATAAAGACTCTTGAACTCCAATCTATAACTATTAAAAACAGAATCTGTATTTTAACAAGGTCTCCATGAAATTTATAGGCATTAAGACAGAGTTATATGCTACCTCCCATAGAGATCTCTTGTCTTTTCTCTGCATTTGCTCCTACCTTTGATCTTAGCCTAGTAAAATTTCTCATTAGATTCAGGCTTAAACTAGTTGGATAAAGTACATGTGAAAATGAGCTAGTTTTCATAATGATGACTTTTTTATTTGCTGATTCCTGAACGGAATTTAGATCTTTGGCCATATTAAAATCACATGTTCATTAGCTTTCATGAAGCCATACAAATCAGTACACTCAGAACAAAATGTATATAGACTAGACTTTTTCTCAACATGTCCAAAGTACTATCTGGGGTGCATTATGGTGGCAAACAGTATAATACCCATTGTTAGAGCTAAAACTTTCTATAGTGATGTAATGTTTATGATTCCAGTCTGTAATACCCTGAGGAACAATTTTAGCTTCTCTGTAGCATGTCCAAACATATAATACACAGTGAAAAGACTCACTGTGTCCTAAAGGGAATTCTCAGGTTCTCTTGGGCATTTAGTTCCCACTCCTTCCTCTTTAGCCAAAAGAACATAGACGTGCAATTGGTGGACTCTTACTTTAAGCACACATTTATATACATAGGGTTGCTCAATTTGGAAAATTAAACCTCCAAGATGAATTGGTATCTCAAGAATTGCTACCTATATTTTTGTTGTTTTTATATTTCAGTTGTATTTTTTCTGTTTTTCTTACTTTACAGAGCGTAAACTTTAAGGATCTCCACAATTTCATTCAAGGCATGGATAAGACAGAAATGATTTCTGTGATATTCATTATTCTTTACATGAAAAGTTAAAAAAATTGTTAATTTATAATAATTTGTGTTTGAGTTCACAAAATGCCCAAAAGGTAAGTAAGAATTGAATACTATAAGTGAATTATCTGTGTGTTTACTCTATTTTCATGACTTGAGTCTGCATAAAAAAAAGAGCTAGCTGAATGACTGATTTGTTCCTCCTAATGATGTTTTATTACCTTGTTAACATAACTCTAAAAACTGTAAAGGATATATTTGGTGAATCAGAGCAATAATTTAAAACTGGGTTTAAAGATAAAATCATAATTTTTCTTTATAAGTCTTGGTTGATTTTGACAAGAAGATTCATTTTTTAAGGAAACACATACTCTGATTAAAAAAAAATTCAATTTATCAGTTAAACATTAGCTCCACTGTTCTTTCACTCATTTTCCAAAATATATTCATTGAATATACATATGCATGTGCACAAACACAGTACATATCTTATATATGTACATGTCTGAAATCAGAAAATATGCATCAAATGTCCATGTTGTGCTCTTTACCCAGAATTTATGACTTAAAAAAGTATCCACACATAAACATATTTGAGAATTTCCAATTATTTTGTGATTTGATATCTCATAGAACAAAGTCCACCCAAAATTAAAATATATTGACCACTGAAATTATTGGTGTTGATTATTTATACAGCCTGCTTCAGCTTGAAACCTTGACTCTACATTATCTACTAAAAGATGATTGTTGGAGATGAAAATGTGCTCAAAGTAAAGCTGCTAGGCAAGACAATTACAAACTAGGTTAATATATAAGTAGAGACCATTTTATTCAGGCACCGTGGATTTCCTAATTAGGAGATACAGGATCAGTTAAAAAAAAAAAAAAACCAAGCCAGTATTCCACTGGAGACAAAGGGAGACAGTCTTATATAACATTAAAATGTGATAAGGTACACACAGCTGAACCATTCTTCAAAATACAAAGATTAAGTAAGTTCAGCTGTTTGGTAAATGACACAAATTAGGATTATCATAAATTGTGTAGGTCCTTTGAAATGTCCAGGTCAGGGACAAGATGGCCACTCTGATATTTCTTAATCCTTATAGGATATTGGGAAGATCTCCCCCCTGGCACATTCAATTTCCATCATGTTATCTGGGAGACAACCCACTCTCTATCCATAAATTTCTAAGTTTGGAAAACAATATTTGCCTGTCTTTGACCACCCAGCTAAAGAAAATCAAAAGGATACAGAAGCAACGTGCAGAGGCAAAATGGCAGAGTAGCAGAATGGCAGAATGGCAGAAAGGTATAAAAGCCCCTTGTCCAAGCTGCCAGCTTTATTTATATCAATAGGTTACATTAGGTCACTGGCATCAGTAGCACAGCATTGTTCATTGTGTCATTTGGCAGGTTACAGAGTTAGCAACATTACTAGCTTATTCCTCACTTATTATAGTTGCAATGTGTAATATTAGGAGTTTTGTGTGGCTCTCAAGGAGGTTCATTGTTTAAAGTTACTGTTATGTGGACAGGTTCAGGCCCAGTGGAGCTTGGTGAAACATTGTGGTTGTCTGGAGTGTTTCTTTATTCCCAGGAGCTGAGTGCCTGAGACCAAGGATGAGGCTGATAAGACTCTAGCACAGAGCTTCCCATGCAGGTCATTGCCACAGCACTTAGGCATTGCACATGTATTAGTTACCTTATTAGTTCCTGGGGGAAACTGCAGAATATTCCAAGGGTGGAAAACAAGGTGCCTATTACCCCCCAGGGAGTTTGCTCACCAGAAGAATGCTGTCCTGTAGGTTTCCACAGCCAGAATCTTTATACCTCACAGTCTTTTTATTTTATTTCTTTAAAATTTTGTACCAGGCATTAAACCCAGGGGAGCACTTAACCATTGAGCCACATCCCTAGCTCTTTTTTATGAGACAGGGTCTTGCTAAGTTATTTGGGGCCTCACTTAAGTTGCTGAGATTGACTTTGAACTTGTGATCCTTCTGTCTCAGCATCCTCAGTTGTTGGGATTGCTTCAGCCTCCTGAGCTTCTGGGATTAAAGTTATGCACCACCATGCCTGACCCGGCAGTCATGTTGATTTTTTTTTGTTTGTTATCAAAACAAACAAAACTTCTAGTGTAAATCACTTCTAATTACTACAATAACAAAGAAACTTTTAAATAAGAAAACAACTTTTAGGCAGTGCTAGTATATTTAAGAGCAAAATAATTTTTAATGTAAATTTAAAAGTCAAATCTTTCTTTAATATACAAATTTTATTGGAAATTAAACTTTGAATTGTAACAGTAAAGAATTTGTAACTTTTAATGAAGTGCAGATTTAAGGTGTTTATTTTCTCTCAAGTCTCTGAGCCTATCTTTTTAATTCTTACTTAGCCTTTTTTTATTCTTTATTCCTCTTCTCTGCCTCATATTTCACATACTTATCTATGTATGTACTCTTTATTTTCTTCTTATTTCTTTTCTTTTTTTTTCTTTACAAAACTCAAATTTTAAAACGTATCCTTTCCCCTTTCTCCTTTTCCTGTCTTTACTTCTCCTTACTATGGAATACTTTCATTGCAAATTCTTACAATATAAATGTTTTGCATTTGTCTATGGCAGTAGACATGTGACAATGCTTCATGTCACTTGTAATCCTTACTGTAGGGCCAGTTGTTTTGCATCCAGTCTTTGTTATTCTCTGACCTTTATCTATATCCAGTTGGACAATGCCCTTACTAAAGCCACCACAAATCTCTTATTTTCATAGTCAGGGATCTCTATTGAATCATTGTCTTACTAGAACAGTTGCTCATCTTCCTCTTTTTATGTCCAATCACGTCAGTCAATTTTCCAGTTTTCCTCCTGTTTTTCCCATCGCTATCTCAGAACATTGTTTTGGTCTCTCCCTTTTCTCTTTTCATTTGAACTTAACTCTTGGTTACAACAGGAAATTAGTTTATGAATGGATATTGGTGTTCCATCATAAAAAGGCTAGGGAAATTGGAGGAATAAACTGCAAAAATCGGGCATGAACAGAATGAAGTAATGCAATCTATCAGCAGCCAAAATCATTTCCCAACACTGGTTCAATGAAGTCTTACTTCTGTAGAATTTTATAATGTTACAGCTAATGCTATTAATTCCTTTGTTGAACGTGGGACACATTTACTGGCATCTTGATATTCCTATCTTGGCTGCAGTTCCAATATTCTCTCTGATCCCTGTTCCTTTTACTATTCTACAAATTCCAAATGTATGATAGGTTGGTCTTGCTGGCCAAACTTAGGTTTAGTGCCCTTACTCTAGGTGCAATAAGGCGGGATTGTGAGTTTTTTAGCTCTAGGGGGCAAATAGTCTCTGTCAATCATCAAGATTTATGTGGTAGAAAAGAATATCAGCTGATGAACATCTATAAATGGTACATGAACACTTTATAACCTGATAAATATGTTTCTTGGCTCTCTATTCCTCTTCTACATATGACACACTCTTCAAAGTGTCGGACTTTCAATGACTCCTTTACCATTATTTTTCCAATGATAGAGATGTACTATTATTAATTATATGTCACCTGGATTTTTAGAGGATATTCCTTCCGAATATCTAAGAATATGAGTTCTCAATCTCATTTCAAGTCACCATGTGACTACATTATTTTTACTGACAATTCTCCTTCTAATATGTCTTAGAGTCCTGTTGACTGTATATTCTGAACTCTTTTGAATTAATTTATCTTCCCCCTGATCACTCCTAAAGTCTTATCATACATGGGCAAAGCACTTTCCAGGTATGTGGAGCACCTGAATAGCATTTAAAAAAATAAGCAGTCCTACATCTTATTCTTGAACTATGGAGTCCATTTCTACATTAATATCCCATACTCCATATTTTGGTGGTAAATCTTTACAGACATTTCAGATAAATAATCTGGTCTGGGATAACGAGCCAATAGAAACAGCTTCCTGATTAGTATATCTGAATCCTGTTACTTCTGTTGCAGGCTATTTTCTATAAGAATGGTATTTAAAAGAAAATTTACATGTCTATGTATCTTAAAAGTTTTCAATGCATGCCTATTGCCTGCTAAAGGAAGGTTAAATTTCCTCATGTCTTTGAGGTCATTTTTTAGTCCTGCATTTGGAAAGATCTGTTTCCTTGAACCTACATACATGTGTCAGACTCAGGATTTATTCCAACACACTAATTTTTATGCACATAAATTTAGCATATGCTAAATGACTTTCCTTTTTTTCTAAATCTGTTTATTTCTGGATATTCAATGCACTAAAATCATTGTGTATTCTTATCCTACAATTCTCTCCAAACACTTTCCATTGATTAGAGGGTAACAACCAACTATAAAGTATATGCTTATAAGTGGATGCTTTTTTTCAGTTTATCTCTAATAGTTTCACTTTATAAATACTTATAATATATTCCTTTTGCATTTATTGCATTTCATTTGAGGTGATATCCGAAGAGGATATGGAAAAGGACAATACAACTTTGCTGACAGAGTTTGTTCTCACCGGACTCCCTCATCATCAAGAGTGGCAAATCCCCCTGTTCCTGTTTTTCCTTGTGATATACCTCATCACCATGGTGGGGAACCTTGGTCTGATTTCTCTGATCTGGAAGGATGCTCACCTCCACATCCCCATGTACTTTTTTCTTGGTAATTTAGCCTTTGTGGATACTTGGATATCATCCACAGTGACCCCAAATATGCTGGTCAATATGTTAGTCAAGAGCAAAATGATCTCTCTCACTGAATGCAAGATTCAATTCTTTTCCTTTGCAGTCAGTATAACTACAGAATGTTTTCTCCTGGCAGCAATGGCTTATGATCGCTATGTAGCCATATGCCACCCTTTACATTATCCAGTGATTATGACCAATAGACTATGCATACATCTAGTAGTTTTGTCATTTGTAGGTGGCTTTCTTCATGCCATACTTCATGAAAGTTTTTTATTGAAATTAACCTTCTGTAATTCCAACATAATACATCACTTTTACTGTGACATTGTAGCATTGCTAAAGATCTCCTGTACTGATCCTTCTATTAATTACCTATTAATTTTTATTTTCTCTGGTTCATTTCAAGTTTTCAGCATTGTGACTATACTCATCTCTTATACGTTTGTTCTCTTTACAATTTTAAAAAAGAAGTCTGAGAAGGGTGTAAGAAAAGCCTTCTCCACCTGTGGAGCCCATCTCTTTTCTGTAACTTTATACTATGTCCCCCTTCTCTTCATGTACGTACATCCTGCATCTTCACAAGCAAATGATAAAGATATGATCTTTTCTGTCTTTTACATGGTTATAATTCCTGTTTTAAATCCCATTATCTATAGCCTGAGAAACAAGCAAGTCATGGATTCACTGACAAAAACCTTAAAGGGAAATGTTTAGATCTTATGGTAGAGTGCATTTTCCTTTTACCAAAAACAGTGGCAAACTCTTAAAAGATATTTGGGTATTTTTTAGGTTCATGTTAGATATATTTTGCTATTACAATTGTCTTCTTTTTAAAATGACTCAGTCATTAGTCATTTAAATATTTGTATATGCCCTGTAACAATATATAAGGAATTTAGTTAAGTGCTCAAGCTATACTACAATTAATAAAAAAAGAAAACATTTTATAGGATTGTGTGGTCTTTAATGTTGTTTTATACATGGAAAAGATTATGTAGATTCTTCTGTTGAAGATGTGATTATGATATCTTTGATACTAATAGAGGTGTATAAACTGGAGACTCATATCATATTTCCTCCAGGGTGGGTAGCACTTCTGTGTTTTGTTAAACACAAGCAAATCTCGTGAATTCAGTTACTGCATGTCTGAAGGTTGTTTTTTTTTTTTTTTAATTGTTTGTATAAATTTTCCGTTGTCCTGTTGGTTTCTTTGCAATTACATGGATTTTGATTGTTTCCTTCATTTTTATGACTGGAAGAATACATTGGTTTGTACTTCTATCATTTTAAAGATCAGTTTCTCTAATTGGATCCTTAAATGAGAGATAAACAACAATTTCTAAGTACATAGGCAGGGTATACAAACATGTCAAGTCTCGTCTTATTTTGTGAGTATAGAATAGGCATTTGGGACCTCCTACTAATTCTGACTTCCTCAGTAGAGGACCCTTCATGGTCTATGGATTCTTGTGCTCTAGTTTGTTGTTTATAATTAATCTCAGTACTTGAAATCTTGAAACTTACAAAAATATTAACACTATTTGATGATCCCATTCTCACTTGTGTTATAAATTTATCCCTATACATTTTTTATACACATCATTTTTGTCACTCTAGAGCTTTTGGAAAAGGAATAAAATATGTACTTTGCAAAGCCAAAATTTTGAATATGGTATTATTAATTCCTCAAAAGGAAACTATGAAATCCATATGTATTGTTTAATGAATATTTGGTTGTAAAGGATGATATACATACTTAGTGCACCCAGTTGCCTGGAGCAGTGCTCATGTTGCATTGAAACCACTCCATGAAATACTAGTAACAAAATGTAAATTTTATTATGAAAGTGAATTACTTCCTTATTTTGGAAATTTAAGATAATTCATAGTCATGCTCTCTCTCTATGAATACATTTTTAATGCCTTCTTTTTTTTTTCCAGGATACCACTGACAAAATTATCTTTAGTTCTAGGAAACTATATCATTAGGACTTAGGTAGGAACAAAGATTTGTTGGAATTTTTAGAGTTCTTTTAAAAATGTGGTTTGCACAAATTATTGGGCATTAGAATAACCTGGAGAGCTTGTGAAAACACAAAAACCAAGTGTCATCTATTGTCCAATGCAGTGGTGCCAATACTTTTAGTTTGAGATCACATTTAGAAGATCATTGTTAAAATAATCAATGAAACAAAATTTTTATAATTCAATACATTTAGGGATTACCATGCTCATAATCCACGAATTATTTTCCTTTAACATTGGGAAAAGAACAAAATCCTTCATCTATCTTCCCAGGTCTTTGAAGGTCTGATGGATGCTGACTTCCCTGGCACCACCTGCCTCTTTCTGACTTCTACCTTTGCAGACTAGCCCATTTAGAGTTTTTGGTTTTCTATTGATCAAGTCCCTCTCATAATCTAGGTCCTAAAATCATGAAAGCCATATAGTTAGCAAGCATCCACTGTCATCACCTTGTTATAAATAAAGACCCCAGAGCCCTAACCCAGAACTTCTGAAACAAATATGCAATTTTGTTTATATTTTCATATAAATTAAAAATATTTATATGAAATTCATTGTCATTGTTGTTTAGAAAGGAAGACATGGGTCAAATCCAATTGTGGTACGGTACTTATTTTTTGTTTTCTTTAGCTACTCATTCTAACAATTGCCTAGTAAGTTTCAGATTAAAGTGAGGAAGCTTGGTATATGTCTGGAATTTAAGCTCCAGTTTGCATGAAGAGGACCACTTTATTTGAGGTTGGCTCCTGAAGGGAATTCAATTCTTGTTCTTGTTAAAATGCTGTTCTGATGAGCTCAGACCGAAACATACTAATCAAAGCACTCAGAATGGTACTTTTTATAAATAAACTGTAGTTCCATAAACATGTTTTAAGTGTCCTCTGTGGGGTAAAATATAGAATTAATTTTTTAAATTAAAATTAGAACTGTTTAAAATTACTTATGTTTATATCACAGCATTCTTATGCTTGGGGAGCAAACTGAACTTCTCATACATATCCAACTACACAGTGCCCAATAGTACAACTTCATTGGTCCTACAGGGAACTCTCTGATACTCTTAGGGGACTTAAAAACTTCACTCCTTGCATTTGTAGAAAAAAAAGTCACAGAGTTATATAACTAGTTGACTCTTGTGTTCAAGTAAACCTACATAAATAGAATTTTATTGAGGCTGGGAATTAAACCTCTGAAACGAATGAGCAGGCAAAGAATTGTCATGCTTGTTATTTTCTATTTTGTGCTATTGTCTTTTTTTCCAGCTTTACAAACCCTAATAAATTTTAAGGAACTTTGCACTCTTTCAATGTATCGGTAAGACTACAAAATTTTCCGTAGTTTTAACATTCTTTATAGTAAAGTGAAAAACTGTGTAACTTGTAACAATTTAGATTGGGTTTAAAAGATGACTAAAGACAGGGTCAAAAATGGAAAACAGTGCACTCCCCTTCATATTTAAGTTTATGCTGACCTTTGGAGAAGCAAAAATGCTGTAAGACTGATTTCTTCTCTGTTGTAAGATGTTTGTTATCTAGTTAACCTAAAAATAATGACTTTATTTCAAGTTCTGGAACTTTAAATAATTCACATATGGATTTAAAGTTTCAATTCATACTGATTCTTATGTAAGAAATGTTTCAAACAATTCTAATAAAATGACCCATAGGATTTGGTTCATCATGCCTTCTGATTAAAATGTTCAAGGTTTCACTTAAATATTATTTCTCTGCTGTCACCAGCATGTGACAATATTTTGTTAAATATTTTATATGTATTTATCAGGAAAGATGATAAAAATGTTCTTTCACTGCTCTTTCCAGCATGTGTGATTTAAGAAATATCCACACAAAAGTTGAATTTGATCATTTTGAATTATCAAGTGAAAAGGAATTTCAGGGAGAGTATTTTGTTCCAAATAGAGCACATTCATACTGTAATTATTGGTACTTTTTTACTTATATTGCATTTTCCGGGATTCTGTAGTTGATTACTATATATTTTACTAAAAATGCTTGTGGGGGATCAAAATGCTATCAATTGAAAGAAGCAGGATTTCTAGAGAAAATTTATTTCAGTAACAACAATGGTAAAGAAAATTGAAAAGTTTTATTGTATATATTTGATTTTTACCACATGATGTTTTGATATACATGTATGTAGTGAACTGATTGATCAAGTCAAGCAAATTAGCACTCAGTCATATCATAGAGTTACTTTTTTGTAGGTATTGGTGGTGAGAATACCTAAAACCAATTCTCTGGTCATATTACTAGTATTTAGTTAAATATTTTTAATCATTAAGTTATAATTCTTGTGATGTGCTCATATTTAAAGGTAAATCAATTTTTAAAAATGCATTTTGAATTGAAGGAAAAGACAAGATTCCTTTGGTTGACAATTTTTAATTAATTCCAGAGAAAAGATAAATTCCCTCACACAAATCTCTAAGCCTTTCCCTTTTATTTCATGTTCACCCTTTCTTGAATATTTCCTTTCTCCTTGACTTTTTTAAAACAATTGATAGCTTTAATTTTTTTTCTTTAGATCCATCCATTATGAGTACACACGATATTGGGATTTTACACAGACCTGTCTCAGTTATATTCTGCCTTTTTTCTTCCTTCCTTTATTTTCTTTTCACTCACCACGAATTCTCATTTGACTTGATCTTTTGAAGCTCTCCTCTTCTTCCTTTCCTCTCTTCTTTCTTTTAAAACTTTTATAGAAATTGTCTACAGGAAAATATATTTGCCTGCAGGATGAAAATGCCAACTGTTCTCTAATCACTTAGAATGCAGTCCTTCATTTTCCTCACTGTTGTTCTACTTGCTTCCTATGCACTTTAAAATATTCACTGAACTTAATTCTATCACATAACAAAAACTCTTCTGACTAAATTTGCGAAAAATTTCTTCATTGTCACACTCAATTATCTCTGTTAGTTCCTTTTTCCTACTAGATTATTTATTGTGGTTTTTACCTCAATTCTTCACTCATTTTTTTTCTTGATTATCTTTCTACACTTCATGTTCAAAACACCCAGCTTTCCAGTTCTCCCTTACTTCTCAGATCAGTCTACTTATGTAATTTTTTCTGTTCCTTCTTTTGTTTCTTTTTAAATTCAGGTTTCTGAGTTGGGAAAAGCAATGAGTTTATATTAAATGAAAATAGGCTCAATGCACAAAATGGTAGAGATTGGAGCAATTATGTGGAAGAATGGTCAGGAACAGAAGGGCACTAGTCAGACAATCAATAGTAAAGAGCATCTCCCAACACATCTGAACATCTCACTATTACCAGTGTGGACCACAGATGTCAAAACTTACACTGACATTGCCATGGCCATAGATGCAGGATGCTTTTGCTGGAGTCTTGATACCTTTGCCTTTGCAACCCAAATTCTCTTTTGCCATGGACCTTCTTCTCTCCATACTCCAAGTCATATGTGGATTTCACTGGGCAAACCTAGACTGAGTCACCTTTACTAGGGGATAGGGTTATGATAAAGTGGGTTTCTGGCCATTTGGGCTTCTTGCAAATTACCTCTTCCCACCAGAAAAACTCACAGAGCAGGAAAAGGGGTATGGATGTGGGCATCTAATAAGTGACATCTATCCACATTATTACCTCTTTAATATACCTTCCTCTTTATATTTTTTTCTTCCTTGCCTTTTACTTGACTACATTTT